GTAACAAAGAAAGACGAGAACTAGAGAGAGAAAAAAAAGCGACTATATAACAAAAATAGCAAATACGAATTGTATGCGATCGCATGCGGCAATTCGATTACGCAAAAAAGACGAGTTTACTATCGTTGACTTTCTAATAAAGCAAATATGTTGTGCGCGAGTTGTCTTTTAGTTCTACTAACACGATTTTGAACGAAGTCGAAAGAGAAAATAGTGCATCAATTAGAGTTAATATTATAACAAACAAAAAAATAGAAAGACTTTTTGCTTTATTTAATAAATAGATGTAAATGTGACTATGAGGTCTTACAAACGATTGAATTCAAGTTTAGTATGTTTCATCAAAATTATACTTTTGACTTAGCCTATCATCTTTTTTTATGTGATTTAGAATGAAACACAAAAAAAAAAGAGGAAATCATCAAAATATGCATGTAACACGTAGCTATTCAACAATAAACTTTATTAGAATTTTTCAACTAGATTCTAATCGAGACATGTCGATGGTAAAATTAGACTGATCAACTTTATGACTATTGTGACGATAAAATATAACGAAAGAACAATCACAATAGTATGACACGCGTCGCATGCACACACTCATCGATTTGCTCTGTTCTTCTGGTATTCATCTAATTTGGTTATTGCGGAACTGTCCTTCCCTAGAGACGACGGCCAGAGTGCACAACAAAGTTGCCTACTACTTTGTTGTTCTTATCTTTTCAGTATGTGGAGAGCTCTCGGCCGTTCTCTTTCATCGCTCGCACAGCTTTAAATGTATGATCGCAACAACGTCAACAACGAAGAATAACATACACACAACACATACAATGCATTTAGTATATTCTACATAGAGATACTATAGTACTTCAATTCGGAAGAAATCACATATACATAGTTAGATATATTTTATGCTCGAATGGTCAACAGAATGATAGGAAATATGTAATTGATCAAACTTAATATAGTTAACCTTGATAATAATGGTCATGACTCATTACAAAATACATTATAACGAATTGTATAAAGGACACAATATCTTTTTTCTTTTTTTTTTTTTGTTGCATATAAATCTAAGTTATCAGCACTTATTCATTGTGATTTATTAATAACTTACTTGAAAAAAACAAGAAAAAATAGAAAATGACAGGTTAATAATCCAAAACAATCATGACATATTTGTATTAATATCTATTGTCGAATAAATATGATAAGCATTAATCTAAAATGTATATCAAGTGACTAGTTGCACGAACAAATCATACTCTATATTTATCGCTGTTGATGTCTACTGTTTAAATTGTCTAAAAGAAGATCATTATTAGCATCAAAGAAAAAAATTATAATATGCAAATAAAAAATTAAAAAATAAAAAATTTGTAACAGTAAGAGAAAGAATGAAATCGTCAGCCAGAAAGCATGAAAACGCTTCTGAGATTTTGGCTCATCCTTGTCGGCATTTTTATCCTATCATCTAAATTCATTATATAGATAGAATGAATGAAAAAAATGAGAGAAGAAGACAGGAAAAAGAGAAAACGAGAACATTAGGCATTACTACATTCTATTAGGTTACTACTTCCCTATTTTTTGCGTTTTTTCTTTCTCGTTGCTAGTTTGTCAGTGATGAACATGACTGATTCTAGCGAACAATATAATTCTAACTGTCGACAAATCATCTATCCATAAAAATTTCTCTAATTCGTCGATCTAGCAATTCTTATATTAAATCTGACAGCATACATAAACATGTATATATATATATATATATATAGAGACATTGAAACTTGCTTATTGGTGATAGATTTTTATTGCTTTTTCTCTTCTTTATCAATTCACGAATAATAAGTTTGTTTGCTATTCGAAAAAGACAAGTGGAATAGAGAGTGATGATTGTCATTATCGAATGATAGTCCTCGTAGGACATAAGCTAACATCATGCGATTATCGATCATCAACAAACATTACTCTCGCTCTCGCTCTCTCTATCTCGTCTCTCTGTCCATTCTTTCTATTTATTGTTGCTACCATTCTTTAATTGAAAAAAATCGATCATTTAGACTCGCATTACGGAAGTCATTTTTCTATTGCTTACCGATACAATTTTTGTATCACAGAAAAGAGTTATTTGTCTTATTTTGTTGTATGTACTATCACGTTTCACCACTGCTACTTAAGACAACGGTGATGAAAAACGAGGGAGCCTGACAGTTTTGCTTACTTTCTGTCTTTACTATACTTGTTTATGGTACTCTCTCGTTTGGCCGCATGCACATTCTCTATGTCAATATAGACAAAATGAAAGAGAGAAAGACTCATAAAATAGTGACGATGAAAAGCAACAGAAAACCATTATGTTATACAGTGTTATATACTTCTCCATCACGTATATTCTCTCAAAGCAAAATCAGGAGTGTTTGCTTTGCTTTTTTTTTGTATGAAATAAACGATGAATACAATTTATTGACATGTTCTGAATATATACATGCGTGTTATTCATGTGTATGTCAATTGATTATAGAAGAATAGACGGAATCTTTCGTAAGCTTTTATTTAACATTGGCCGGATGCGAACTGTTTCTCGTCTGTCTGCTATTATTGTTGCTGCACGCATTTTTGCCAACAAGATCAAATTAGCTGCCGTAGCAACCATTTTTTATTTACCAGAAAACGAGAAGAATTGAGACCATTATTCTATATATGAATATAAAAATATTCACATGTCCAGCATGGCATTTGTTTTTAACTTTTCTTTTCAAAAACAAAAAAAATAGTTTATTGGAAATCACAAAGTACAAATGAAATTTTTTGTTAAATTAATCATATTAAAAACATTTTTCACTTACATAAATCTTTCATATTACTTTCCATGATTTATATGTTGTCAAATGAAATCAATGAAGATCACATTGTACAAATTATTTTCCATTATAAAGATATATATGATTTGTAAAACGAACATAAAAGGGCATGTGTTAAGAATAGAATGTGTGAAATCTATGTTTCATCAATGTTAGAAATAAACTTATTAATACATTCCTAACTCAATAATATTTTTTAATGAAAGTCTCTAATGAATGTAACAAGAATTAGATAATCATTTTATCATCGACCTCAGATGGGTATATAATTGAACAACATACAACATCAGTTTTTAATCATAAATAATCATATAAAAAGAATTATGTAACACAAAGAGAATCTTTTGTGGACGTTTTCAACGTTATGAGTATGGGTAACACAAGATCAATTTTTTAGGTCGAGCAATGATGTTTTGAAACGGCCTATTTTGTCTCTCCTTCTCTAATAATGAACATCTCAACAGTAGAATCATTGTCGCTTGAATTTAATTTTTCTCTTAGTTATGAACTATGTCTCGAATGACAAACTCAATTTTATTGATAACAAACAGCAAAGAAGATTAGTTATTACATTTCGTCTATTAGATATTGGTTAATTGGACTTCAATTCTTTCAGTTTAAATCATTAAGTACCACATAGTCAACCTTAGAAAGATTGAAACCGATTTATAATCATGCTATTAGTCTTGATCCAGCGACAAACTTTGAAGATTACTTATTGTAACAGGAAAGAGTTCAAAATAATCAATATGTTGATTATATATTGCTTAAATAATCACATATCAGATATATATGAATGGAAATGTATCCATCAGAATAATAATAAACAAATGATAAGACGATGGGTCAATTCTCCTATGTGAACTACAGGGTTGTATTGAATAACGGATATCACAGGAGACATTGCACTAAATCTCAGTATATCATTCTCTTGTCAGCACAAAATTTAAAAAGAAAACAAAAAACAAACTGATAACAATATTTTAATAAAGGTCTCGATGAATTCTCAACTGTCTCACGAAATTCTCCTTAAAATTCTTTATCTTTGAATGAATGTTTCAGAATTTTAGAAAGAAGTCCTTCTTCTGGTAAACTTATCCTGTTGGTATTTTTGAATTCAAAATATTCAAAATATTTTCATTGATCAATTTTATATTTATACTGTTTCGTTCACGATTAAATTCTACATTCGATAGCATAGTAATAAAGCATTCATAGAGCAAGCCTAGCGTTTGCAACATAATTTCCCAAAGTAGACTTAGATAATACTGACAGTTGTCAGTTTCAAGTCTTTTTCTCGTAATCATTAGCCTCGACAATCTTGACAAGGTCGTAGAGGCATAGAGCACGACATTTTCTATCTATTGGTATTAAATAGTGTACTTTTGACATCGACTTCGATATGCAAAGGCTTACAAGGCTGACAGCTTTGTATAGCTTGAAATTCTATATCTTTGGATGTATAAAGAAAATTTTTTATGTTTAGGAAGTAAGAGAAATAGGCACGAAGATTTAGTGTAAATTATTCTAGGACACACATTATGTATACATGTTAGCTTAAGTAGTGTTACTCTAGTATAAACAAGAGGCGTGGAATATTCTGAGACACAATACGCTTCTCTTGCCTTTCCAAACTCTTTTTAGGAGAAATAGTTATTACCCTCTCGTAGTATTGGTGCACCGCCCGTGGTTATGAGAATCAGAGCAGAATAATCGAACGTCGAAATCATGAAATTTCTATTATTGACTTTGATGAGAAATGCTGTCATTTGGAAAATCTATTGAAATAAATCATTATATTCTAATACAAATTATCAATCAGAGTCATTCAAAAAAAAAAATTACAAATTTTATCATTATTCTATAAGAATCGATAATTAACATCAGCGGATTAGTTTTATTCTTGAAATATGAACAACTGTGAATTTTTCTGAATTGTCTAATTCAAACAAAAAAAAACCCTCTTGTCTTTGAGAAATATGTTGATATCACCTTAAGACAGAATAACCTAGTTTAACAAACGTTATCAGCAAAAAATCAACAAAAAAAAAACAAAGGGGCTTGCCGATAACGAAAATTCGAGAACATATACATAGATTTCTTTTTGTGTCAGTTGCATCTTTTTTTTTGTTGCAAAGGATGCAATATATGAGATCAATAATTGTTTTTTTGGTTCTTGTTATTATTAGTCTGTTGTTTGTTGACAAATGTCAATCTACTCCGTTGGATGATTATGTCAAAGCAGCTGATCCACATTTTAGTTGGACTGTAATTCAATCATATCAACAACCTGATTATGTTTTATATATTCTAAATTTTACATCACAAAAATGGTTCGATGGTAAATTAATTTATTATCATTAATCGTTTTATATATATTGTCATTCATCTATTTAAAAATAAAAACTAGAAACATTTTCTGATCGTCCAATTTGGTGGCATTATTTGTGTGTTAGTGTTCCACATAAACTTACAAGACCAAATACAGCTTTTATGCTTATTGATGGTGGTAGTAGTAAAGATGGGTATAAGAATATATATTGAGTAATAATAAAAACAAATCCTTTTTTTTTTTTTATTAAATAATAGATTTCCACAACCACAAGATAATTTTGTTAGTTTAACATCTATGTTTGCTGTAAGTAGTGGAAGTATTGGTGTTGATCTTCAAGATATTCCAAATGAACCAATACGTTTTGTGGTAAGATGGATTAATTTTTATTGAATCTAGAAGTATTAACTTTGTTCTCAGGCTGATCCAACAAATAGAAGTCGTGGTGAAGATGCTATTATTGCATGGACATGGAAAACATTTATTGAAAATCCAGATAATCCTTATGTACTTCTTCGTATGCCAATGACTAAAGTACAAATGAATATTTTTTTTTATGAATAATATATTGTTTTGTTTTCTTGTAATTTAGGCTTCAGTTCGTGCTATGGATGCTGTACAACAATTTGCAAAACAATTAGGAGTGGCTGTACCTCAAAAATTTGTTATTGCAGGTGCTTCAAAAGTAAATAAACTTTTTTAATCTTGGAATTTTACTTGATATTTTCTATTCTTTGAATTTTAGCGTGGATGGACAAGTGAGAATTATTTTCATTCATGCTTTTTTTTTGTTTTATATATAAAATCTTATTAATTCAGCTTGGACAACGGCTGCTGTTGATAATGAACGTGTTGTTGGTGCTGTACCAATTGTTATGGATATGTTAAATATTCATCAAGTAAGAAATAAATCGATTAATTTAATTGAATAAATATACTTGTTTTAAAAATAGAATTTTCATCATCACTATCGAGTATGTACAATGAATAAATGATAACTTCATCTGTATTTTTTCAATGAATTTCAAAGTCTTTAGCTGGTTGGACATTTGCATTTAAAGATTATTATGTTTTAAATATTACTCGAAATACTGATCATCCAAATTTACTTAAAATGGGACAAATCATTGATCCTTACAGTAAAATATAAATATTTTTCGACTCATAATCTTTTCATATTCATATATTTAGGCTATTTTGATCGATATAGAAATATGAAATTATTACAAATTCAATCGAGTGGTGATGAATTTTTCTTACCAGATAATGAGGTAAAACAATATATATATATACATATAAACAATAGAATGACTTGATTCATTACTTTTAGGATGCATTTTGGAGTGATTTACAAATTGCTACTGGTGGTTCATATTTAAGGTATTTTAAATCTGAAAGAACTCTACCAAATTCAGTGATCTACCTTGAATCACAATACCATATGTGTGATTTTGTAGGGCGATTCGCAGCGCATCAAACGATATAGTAGAAATCAAATTTTCATTTGCTCAGAATTCATATACGGATTATAATCATTGAGGAATATATATGGTACTTATAGATATTGTAATTTCTAAGATAAACTTATGCAAATTTTGTTTTTAAACACAATGCGACATAGTTAAAATAAACTTTTCCATGCCTCGCTATATCCCTCCAGGAGTCCAGAGGTCAAAAAAATTTTTCCATTTATAAAGGAATTATTTATATCAACTTATCAAGAGTCCTATGCTGATTATTGGTGCATACAAATTTTAAGAGAACCATTGAGTATTGTTAAAATATCCTCTTGATTATAGAAAATTGAAGAGCATCTATGACTGTATCGAATTGCGTTTAAAAAACAAAATTTGCATAAGTTTATTTTAGAAACTACAATGTCTATAAGTACCATATATATATATATATATATATTCCTCAAGAATTATAACCAGTATATGAACCGTGAGCACATGAAAACTTGATTTCTACTATACCGTTTGACGCGCTGCAAATTGCTCTACAAAATCACATACATGGCATTGTGGTTCAAGATAAGTTACCAAATCCAGCGAAGCTCTTTATTCTTAAATTTTTATCTTATTCTATAGACGATTACCAAATGCAGAGCATTCTTGTGCTGGCCATGAAATAAGTCTTTTTCTTACCATGCGAAGTTTTTATTTAAGTATTTATGATGTAAGTTATAAAGATTTTTTTTTTTTCGTTAATTTATTAATTTATTATTTTTCAAAGAATCGACCATTACCTTCGTTTAAATGGATTAAAACATCAAACAATACTCATGGTTACATTCGTGCAACAGTTGATTTTAGTGTTGGCCCAAAACCGATGAGTGCTTATGGTTATCACGCTCGTACACTTAATGATAAAAGGTCTGCACATATATATTTCAACGATTAGAAAAATTATTTATCTGATTATTTTAATAGACGTGACTTTCGGCTTCTAATCGCCGATCCGAATAGACCCGGCAAAGGAATGATTAATCCAGTCATTTGGCTTAATACTGGTGTTGTAACAGAAGTAAAACTCTGAGTTTGTTTTTTTTTTCTTTTGTAATTACATATTGTCTAGGTACAAACTCCAACAACTATTATTTATTCTTTAACTATTCAAAATCCAATGAATGGTTGGGAAGGATTTTATATTCAAGTTAATTTTCCTGGTCCAGATGGCACAGTTCTTGAACTTACAACAGAAACTCAAATCATTCCTGATTCGTATCCAACAAATGATTGCTATGGTGATAGTTGTTATGGTACACTTGTTTGATTTAGTTTTCTTTTCTTTTTTTTAATTATTTCAAGCAAAAAGAAAAAAAAAATTATAAGAATTAAGAAATTCGATTAGTTTTTTGTCTAGTAGAACCTATTGATTGCTTCTGTGAAACTCGTGTTTTCTTTTCTTTTTGTATTGATCCATTCATTTTTCTTAATAAACGTCTTAATTCACGATAATTTTGTTGAGCTTGATATAAACTAGATGCAAATATATGACGTTTTTGATGATCTTCTATTTCAGTCAATATTAAATTATCATGATGATAATCACTCAAAAGTGAAGTTTGAATATTATTTATTATTGGTTTTGTTTCTATATGTTGTTGAGTTTTAGTTTCAAGTGAATTAATTTGTTCAATAGTATACAATGGAGTTATTTCATCAACATTTTTCAAGTGTAAATCTTCGACAGAAATGATCTGATTTTTAGTAGATTTTTGTTGCTGAATAGGTAAAGAAATTGTTTTGGATTCTTTTGATTTTAGATCACCAACTAATTGCCATAATGAATTATATTCACCATTTTTTATGACCATTATTCTATAGAAATAAATACAAAAAAAAAAGAATTTTTCTTTCAATATAGAAAGATAATAAAAATAAATTACCGTTCACATTTAGCACCGCTAAACATATTTGGCATTAGACCTAAATAAATCATCTAGAGTAATAACGTTTCTTTGTAAACAACCGAACAAAAGTAATAACGCACTAAATCAAATCAATGGGACTAACATCTGAGAAAAATCAATATTTTGATATTTCTATTAATAGTTTTTTTAAATTTGTGTTCTACAATCGGGTTGGATACCTGGCTCGGCACATGAGTTCGAGTGCAAACTCATCGGATCGATTTGGGTGCTGTGTATGATCTCGTACTCGGTAATTAATGAGATAACAACGTTTGAAAGTATTCTACAATTATGACGTTTGGCATTCCACACTGTGTTCAATTCCAGTGTCATCAGCAACAAGCAAACGTATGCGTTATGAAATTGATCGAATTTTAGAAGTAGAAAGGCATCAAGTGAATCCTAAATCATTTGCTTTTTTGTGGAATGTGAAATGATCTCTTTATTTTGTTACTGTTTATAGAAGAAACTAAATAGTATACTTTTTCATATAAAATAAAAATTTGAAAACCGTATTGTGAAAGTGTTTGCCGGATATCGATTAGCTCCGGTTGTGAAAAGTCCTATCCCTACAGGACACTAGTTTAAAATGTATATGGATTCAACTATGACAAACAAATTTTTTGGAAGAAAATATTGTAATCTATTCTTCGATTGACAAAAATTGAAAATATTTTCTTTAAAAAAAAAAACTTGCCGTTTGGTTCTAATGTAATTGTTATAGATATTGGGTCACCAATATCATCATCTTCAATATGAAATAAATCAATACATTCTTTTTCAAATGGATTATTTCCATTAGTTAATGATTCTCTGAATTCCATTGGTCCTAGAAAAATTTTTTCTAATTTTTGTTTTTCAAATTCAATATAATCTTCTTACCAAATATTCCTTTTGTTCCTGTTACTACAACTTTAAAATTTGCATTTGTTCTCGATAATATTTTATCAGTTGTATGAGTAGCAATATAATAACAAACTTTACCAATTGGTAATGGTGGATGTGTTAGAGAAATATATTTTTTCTTCGGTTGTTCTTTATTTAATATATTATATTTTACATCAAATTCATGTACTATAGCATTATGTATTACATATAAGCAATCAAGTGTTAAACTATGATCTTTATTTGTTTGATCAAGACGTACTGATACAGAATGAATATGACCAACTTCTGATGCTTTTATATGATATAAATCCTTGATAAGAAATAACAAAAAATGAAAAAAAATAAATAAATAGAGAGAACATATAAAGTTTTTACTTACTGTATGTTTACTATCAAATGGATGATCAGGATAATTTTCACATTTTATTAAATGTTGTTCACCTGACGATGATAAAAGATCACCATGAAAATTTATATAAACATTACCATTTGTTCCATCAATATTTCGAATTATAACATAATATCGACCAATATCATCAGAAATTCTGAAGAGAATAAAAATAGACTTTATTTATATTAATTTCTAAAGACTTACGCATTCGATTGTTTATTTAAAATATTCGACAAAAATATATTATCATCATATTTTTTTTGACAACGAGATGAATCTCCATATTCATTAGGAATTGATAATATTTTTTGTTCTAAACCAATATCAATAAATCGATCAGTTTTTATAATTCGATTAAGAACAATACGTCCTTTAAAAAAAACAAGAACAACAACAATAAATAATTCGTTTATTCAAATTTCTATTTTTTACCTGTAAAAGAATATCCATTATGAATAATAAACATCCATTCGATAGGCCATTGACATTTTGATTCTTTATTTTCTGAATATAATTGTAAACGTATTCGTTCTATATTACCAATATTATAATCTTGCCATTGAAATATATCAAATTGATATTTTTCAAGAGCAATATTATTATTAGTTGATGATGAATGCATATGATAAGATGATTTCATATTGATATCTGTATGTTGTTGATTATTACCAAATAATGATAATGTAGGATAACAACCTTTTGAACATGAATCATTTCCAGTTTTTATAAATGCACAATAGAAACTTTCTACAATCAAAAAATGAAAGAAAACTTCAGGAAAATAGCATTGAACACATCCAGAAAATCAACGATGATGGAAGATGTTCACTAAATTTATTTGATTGATATCGAGACGATACATACATACATGTCTTGAAGCAATTTAGTATCTCTTATAATCAGAACTCATATACACTTTTCGATTTTTACTGTAATTCTATTGACTTCGAAATTGTCTTCTAGGACTATAAGACACATTCATAAAACGGGAACTCGTAAAAAAAAGAAATAAGTTCATCCTCGAAAGAACTACTATATTATCCTTTATTTTTAATTTTCTGGATATGCTTGGAGAAAAAAAAAACCTTGAGATCCAATTAATGGTTCAGTAACATTCACCATAGTAGAAATATCAGTAGATAATAGGAGAGAATGTTCCGAAGTAACATCACGATAAATATGAGTACCTAAAAATAAAAATCGATAGATAAATCTCCCTTTGTATAGAAAACTGACCATCTATAATAAAAATATTATTAAATCTCCATTCTTTAAATTTAGAATTTGTATTTGCACAAAATTCAACTTGAAATATTTTGCTAACATCAATATTAGATAAAAGTAAAAAAAGATCAGTTTGATTATGTTTAAAAGCTTTATGATATGACTAAAGTTAATATAGAATTTAATTAATTCGAATTAATCATAATTATTATTTATACCTGTGATTTTCCTAATGATATTTTTTCTGTTTGTCCACTATTACCTTTGATAATAACAGTAATATTTTCTCCTGGATCACCATGAAGTGTTTTTAAGATAAGTAAATAATTTTTTATTATCGATTGAGTTCCGTTCATATTAATCGATGAGCAAAAAAAACAAGGAAAACTTTTATAAAAAATAATAAAAACAGAATAATAGCGCCAATTAAAATTTTTTTCTTTTCAAATTGTGGAAGTATTGCATATAAAACATTTGCATGAGAGTTGTTGATGCTTTAAAGATAAATCAGATCATTTTTTTTTTTATAGTTGTTAAAGTTTGCTGGAATGTCCTATTATAAATTTCGGGTCGGTATAGGTAGAAATTTATTCCACTCAAATAATGAAGAATTATTTTCAAACATCACACTAATCAACACTCTTGTTGCTATTCTTTGTTTTTCTTGATAATCAATCAAGATTTGTTTTACATATACTTCAGTATAAGATTCTTACTTAAAAAAATAGATCTTGGCTTTCTGACAAGATTCATGTAGGCCGAATCTTGGTCGATGAAGCAAGAGTTTTCTCGCTACACAAGATTCTAATATTCTTATAATTTAGATATAAACTCTGTTAAACGTCAACAAAATAATTTTATTTCCACGCTGTAACAAAATATCCAAAAAAAAAGAATAACTACACCAAAAATAGATTCTATTTCATACGCCTTCAAATGAAATACTAACAGATACAATAGAAAATATTTACCATGATAATTAAAAAAACAACAGTTTCATAGTCATTCTATGAATCTTACGACATAGTGCAAGGCTCATTACAATACTTATGCTATGTGCATTCAAAAGAAATTTAACTAGATGGCGTTCAAGTTTCACTCGAGTGAGAAATGGTGTACGAAGCTACCAATGTCGATCATCGAAAAAATCGATATTTCATAAAAAAAGAATAATCGTTTCTATGATTTATCGCAAAACGCTTTTCCTTAAAAGATAAATCGAAAAATTTAATTGTTGATAAATCAACTGATTGAAGTATAGAAGGAATTAAAAAACAGACATGACAAAATGCATCACTACGACAACTATCACTTAAATTATATACCTTTGTTACATTGAATATCGGAAGTAAAAAGCTTACCGTAGTCCTATGTAGATAGAAGATGAAACTTAGAACAACGCGTTATGTTAAGTTTCATTCGATACATTCTTATTTGGTGAGATACACATCTGCTCTGTTGCTAGAAATCCAATAAGCTTTTTTACTTCTGCTACTTCTAGTGTAACAAAGGTATAGAGCTGAAGAGATATAATCGGTTTTGATTTCAAATATAAGAATTTCGTACAGAAAAAGATTTTCTACAAATCGATAACCTTCTTTAATGCATGAATAAGACAATACAAGAGCATCTATTTCTATATTTTCTGACTCTCTGTCCTCGAGATCATCACAACAGAAAACGATAACTTTTGACGTGTTTGTCTAGTAAGTAAAAACGAACAAGGAAACAATTTCACCTAAAGTCGGTCGTGTCCTGTCGAAAGTTTTCAGCTGACTGAAGACTAGCTTCCCAATTGTAATTATCTCGGATAAAAGATGGAGACCAAATCATCAAAGTCGCTGTTTTTCGGAATTCACTGAAGATTCAAAAACTTTTGTACCATCTCGACACATGAATCTTCCTGGCATAGTTTGAACGAATTTCTAGCGACCTAGCGTTCTCTAGAACATTGCAACACAAAGTACAGATTTTGTTATAGCGAAAAACACGCAAAGTGTGGAGGCCGAATACGTATGCGAGCGACTACGTAAATGCTCTGCTTCGCAGCGCATTAAAAACTTATGTTTGTGAACATTCGATTAGTCTTTTGGCTTATTTTGATTGATATGTTACATATGCATGATCTATTCAATTTTTAAAATTGAGGAAAATGGTATGAACGACCAGAGAAAAGGAGATCAGCTAGATCCCATTGACTTGTTGAATATGCACACTATACACCATATATTTTGTATTCTAGCGTTAAATAGTTGATGTTTTTTTGTCAGTATATTAATTAGACTAGATATATACATATGATAAATGCCATTTATTAAATTTAACTTACGAGAGAATCTCTCCAGATGTCCACTCGCTATTCGACTAAAATGATATCTATTTGATGACTACTATTGAGTAATAGGACAGTCTAGAATGATTTGATTTTCCAGACCTTTGTTTACGAGATAGCAAAAATTTCACTGGGTTTTTTCACAAGAAGTTGTGATCACGTGAAAAATAGACTTTCAATAAGATTAGTTAATTGGGCAAGTTATAACTTTTGTGGCATGTCCTATCCTGTAATATTGAATATTCGAAATTCTCTGATGTGTAAAAGCAAATGTTATTCATACATTTACATCTTTAGAAATGAAATACTACTATCGGAATTTTAAAAGAAGGCACCTGGAAAAAAAGCTTATAAATTTCGAACGAAAAGTCATAGCGACCCGCGGTTTTCAGCAATCGATAGAAGATTATAGGGGGCACATTTTTATATAAAAATCAAGGTTTAAATAATCGATGATTGTGGAATCACTGAAAGAGTAGGCTCGTTATTTGGTGAAATCTCAGCAGTACAAGCTGAAACTTTCAGCATATATAGTTCCACTGTACCCCAATCTTCGCTGAAAATATCATCGATAAATCTTGTAATGACGAGGAATGGTGAGCTAATCATCATCTGGCCTTACATAAGACTCTCATTCACTCAAAATATTAGGAAATTGCCTCAAATTTTGGCTGAATAAATATCATAATCTAGACTTCATATCTATGCAATTATATCATAGTTTGATTAAATGAACGAGAAGAGACTGTGAAAATATTACTAAATTCTGCATTTCTCTTAAGAAAGTTGGAAAGATTTGTTTTAAAATACTTACTGTATGAAAATCATTTCTTCGTCGAATTTTGGCTATTTACATACATTTTTATGATCAAAGTGCGATGCTATTGCATAGATATGAAGTCTAGATTATGATATTTATTCAGCCAAAATTTGAGGCCATCTCCTAATATTTTGAGTGAATGAGTCTTATGTAAGGCCAGATGATGATTGGTTCACCATTCCTCGCCATTACAAGATTTATCGACGATATTTTCAGCGAAGATTAGGGTACAGTGGAACTATATATGCTAAAAGTTTCAGCTTGTTCTGCTGAGATTTCACCAAATAACGAGCCTACTCTTTCAGTGATTCCACAATCACCGATTATTTAAACCTTGATTTTTATATAAAAATGTGCCCCCTATAATCTTCTATCGATTGCTGAAAACCGCAGGTCGCTATGACTTTTCGTTCGAAAGTTATAAGCATTTTTTCCAGGTGCCTTCTTTTAAAATTCCGATAGTGGTAAAGCTAAAACTTCCACAACCAACTAGCTTCATTAAGAAACTTGTTTCAGTAAAATATGAAGTCAATATTCGAAAGTCAATTTTCCACATGACCACAGCTTGTTGTTGAAAAATCCAGTAAAATTTCGATATCTCGAGAACGAAGGCTTGGAAAACCAAACCATTCTAGAGTTTTCTAGTACTCACCAAATGAACATCGTCTCAATCGAAAAGTGATATGACACTTGGAGATTCCCTATTCTCATACAATATATGCTGCCTTAAATAGACCAGTCTCAGTTTTCCCCACAGACTTAAAAACTCCTTGTGCTGAAATCAGTATATAGTAGAATGTCAAATTAAATCGAATTATCGTTTGTACTGAAAAGTATAGTTCAAAGATCAAATTAGTGCAACAAGAAATTGTTTCTTTAGTATATGTCAGCCATGCTCTAGCGTTCTTTATTGTCTTTAAAAGAATTTTATATCAAGATATAAATCCAAAAGAAATAACTGTATATTTGAAAAAAAAGTATAATATTAAACATCTAAACAAATTTGAGCCCTTCTATTATTCAGACTTTTTCTTTTCAAATAAATTACAATACAAATCAATCCGACATTGTACAGCTAAAGATCAAGTTTTCAAACTTGTCTTAAGGGGCTCATGCATTACTGGTTCTTTTTCATTTCAATCTTTTCCTCACATCAATTCCATCTTTTAAGAATCTTATCCAAAAAAAAAAACACAAATTTTCTTTTCATAGATTTATTCGAAAGTGCTCATCACACGTCTATCTATTCATTTTGTTGTCTTTTGTTTCGTTCTTTTTGACCATACACTTGTGCAGAAGAAAGCAGATAAGACCTTGAAAAGAGAAAAAGAAAACAAAAACAAAAACAAAAACATAACACAAACAAGAAAAACAAAAACTAAATATGCTATTTACGACAATGAGTAAAGAGTCAAAAAAAAATATATAGATCTTAAGACTTAAGAATTTGTTTTTAAAAGTGTATGTGTATTCAGTAATATATTTATATATATATTGTACCAAGAAAAAAAGATTTTCTACTGATATTGTCATCAGAGAAAAGAAGAAAAACAAAAACATCCACATTCACATATACATTCATGAGTACTAACAAGTTCGTATATACACAAGAATAATGATATAAACAACGGCAAAAGACAAAAATATGAACCCACTGTGTGACGATAGAAATAGTGGGAGAAAAAAAACAAAAAATAAATAAATAATGTATGATAACACGTTAGACGTGTTGAAGGCTGAAACTAAATTGCCGAGAGCGAGAAAGGAGAAAATGAATCGAACTCATAGAGACGAAAAATAATCGTATGATGGATCTAGTCTAGAAGACATTAGTTGTCTTTCGACAAAAAAGAATTTATAGACTATAAAAGAAAATGTCACGCGGGCAAAAAAATAGATTGTGTTACACAAAACGAAAAACAAAAATGAATTATTTTATCCTTTAACTTTTTGTCCACCTGGAGAATTAAATGATCCATTAGATGTTCCATTAGACTGTCGACAACCACTCTGTATAGGTATTGGAGTAGCCGTTCTTGCTGGTTCAATACTTGTATTATTATTATTATTATTATTATTATTATTATTGTTATTGTTATTGTTATTGTTATTACTATAATCATCGGTTGTACGAAAACAATCACGACAAACACGTACAGGTTCTTTTAAATTTAATGATGGAATTAATTTGTAATTATTAGTAC